GTTGAGTTTGACCACTGTTTGCATGGTCCATGTCCATTTATCTATAATTCTGACAAATGCATTTACTTCAGAAATAATCTATTCTGTCACTGTTACTGACGATGCGGATGCCATCACTGTTCCTGAGGAACATTACAATGCTATGTCATTATCATAGAAACCTAGGTCATGGACAAGGATCAAAACATACTGTTCATTATCTCCAAAAGGCTGTGCTGCTGAAGAAAAAACATAAAATTGCACTTTTCTCAAATAAGGGTATTTAGTTAGCAGTAAGAAAAATACTCACTCATAAACAGAGTATTTTGTCAGACCATTTAGGGCTAAAAGGATTTTAAAACAAATGAGGATAGCCTTTTTGAGACATGACAAATTCTTACCAAGCAGCAAGATTAAATCTAGCCTTAGATATAGCAGAAGATGAGGAAACCACAGAGTTCTCTGGATCCAAATGTTCTACAGTATCTTCTCTACAGCCAAATAAGTGAAGAATAAAACTCCCTCATCACTCCCCATAAAAATCCCCAAACCATTAGCTGCAGCCAAAGACAGCAAGTAAAACAAGGCTCAAATTCACTGCATTGTAAAAGCTGTAATTAGGTAAGCAAACGCTTACAAACTTAAGTATATCTGCAATATGCAAACAGAACGTAACATGCCATGCCGCACTGGGAATAGGAAGTCAATCCTGTACAAAAGTTAAAAACGTGGTTCAGATGCAGCAAGAAGAGAGTAGGAAGGCAGAACCTGAAGTCTTAATAACTGTACTGAATACTTGGTACTGCTATTCTACATTATTTCACAGGAAGATTAGCAATCCATGTGTATACACTGATTCACTAGGGCTCACACACATTGAGAAATATTTTACTTTCACAAAGACCAAAAAAGTGATTATTAGAATGATTCCATTTTGAGTATGTTATTCTTAAAGAAATGGTCAAGAACTACACATAGTGTCAGTACACGTCCTAGTAAGTGTTTCTGGATGAGAACAAACTATCCAGGAACTTCTCAAAAGTTGCTTTTATTCACACTTGATTATCAAGCAGCTAATGATTAAGAGGGTGGTTTCAGGGTTTCTCTACATGCAAATGCTCCCTCATAGCTGGCTGCTGAGGTTTCCACACAGCTTCTCTTCTCCAGGCTGCACAGCCCCAGTTTTCTCAGCCCCCTGGTCACCCTCGTGGCCCTCCTCTGGACCTGCTCCAACAGCTCCACGTCTTTTCTATGTTGAGGACACCAGAGGTAATTACAGGAGGTAATGCAGAACTTACTGAAAGTACCCTTATGAGTTCAGCCTGAAAGGTCTCTAGGGAAGAAGTCTACTTTAACTGTCATTTCAGATCTTACACATTATGTAGTAAGTACAGGAAAACTTGAAAAGCACAGATTCATATTTTCTGTATGTAAGGACAAATAAATTTAAACATTCTCATTTCTGAGGGTCAATTTCACACTCTGTATGCAATTTGCAATTTTGCTTTTTTTTAAGTATCTTTTGTCATTGTAGGACACTGAAGCTTGTCAGACGGGATACTTACAACTACAATGTTTCTCTAACATTAAATAGCTTATTCTAATAAAATTAGAAGGCTATGGTTAATTATGAGCTACTGAGCACTCAACCTGTATTCACTTATGACTACATCATAAATAAATGAAAAAACAGCACCCTGTGTTCTGTATTTTCTTTTTAGGAGTGGCAAATTTAATAATCTGAAAAAGATGAACCTGTAACTTCCTGAGGAATCAGAGACTATTGCTTTTTTATACAGTCACACAAACCTTATGTTTTGAAATCTGAGACTCTAGCAGTTAAGTAAAATATACCTTTTATTGTAGTTTGTCTGAGAAGCAAGTTCCTTCAGCAGACAGACAAACTACAATAAAAGGTATTTTATTGTATTCACTCTGCCATTTTAGTCCCCAAACTCTCCTCATTTGGCAGCAGGATGCATCAACACCAGTTCCCATTCCCTGCTCACTGGAGAGCCTTGTGCCTTCTACCTCATCAAGGCAGCATGAAGCCAACAGATACTTCACCTTAAACAAAGAACTACTGTTTTATAAATAAATCTACAGTAAACCTACTAGATATATGCAACATTACATTCTTTTTGCAACAAAAATGTAAATGATACCAGTACAAATGCCACTTCCTTGGAGAGCTGATGGATTCTCAGTGCTCTGGCATGCAGAAGCTTTTTCCCAACTGTTCTTTTGGTTTGTTTTGGTTCATCAGATTCAAGAAACAGTTTTTTACCAATTACTGTCAAAATGTGAATAAATCCAGGAATGAAGTACTGAATATTTTCTGTAAATGCATGAAAAATGGGGATTTAGCATGTATAAAGGGAATTTACCAAGCAGACAGAAAGTGTACAATAGTGTGTACTCTATAAATAAAAACATAATGCAAGAAGGTAAACATGCAGGGAAGAGAAACAGGCAAATGACAGTAAGGGTAGGAACTGTAAATGACATGAAAGTTACAGCTGTGGAGAACAATAATTAATGAAGCAATTATTAATTAAGCAGTATGAACCCAACACAGCAGTATTACAGTCTGGTTTGGATGATTAATTATATTCCAGTTATAAGCCACCTGAAAATGCTCATTTACCATCTCTTATTTTTTCAGAATAAATGGAATTATTACAGCTAGCTGCACATACACTCTCAAGGAGCTAATGTTACTTCTGTTTTTTTAGTATGCTTTAATAAGTATTATAAAAGCATTATGCATTTCAGATTTGCAGAAAAACATCAGTCGTACACAAGGTCTGAACACAATAACAGCTAATACTGTGCACAGCACTTGAAAGATTAAAGAACACTAGTACTGCTATTTTATTGTATTTGCTTTTCATTAGAAAGTATAGGGGAGAACACTCACGTATTTCAGCCACAGTCAACACAAGAGTGCAACTTCTGAAGAACAGGAAACTTAGCTAAAGTAACTAGCCCTTTGAGCTATATTAGTCATATGATATATATATATATATATACATATCCTACAGACGTTTCTTTTAAACAGCATTAAAAATTATTCTTTATCCTACAATTTATATGCTACTCATTTTATCATATACATTACAAAATTATCCCTTGAAGCTTCACTTGCACTATTCATACACTCCAAACAGCATTTTAAGAACATAAGAGAAAGTGTGTGTTTATAAACCTCACCTAGTTCTTTCACTAAAAGAAGTCTCACACAGACTCTGATGAAAAAGCAGAATACAAACATATCAATGTAACATAACAAATCCTACTGTAGATAAGTTGCTTGTTCTTCCTGCTAAAGCAATTACACAAAAACTCTTGCAAGTTAACATCTAAGCAAGATGTGTACAGAGGTCGTATTTCAGACACTAAAGGTGAAGGTGGTCTCCCTCCAAATATGCAAATATGGTTTCCCAAGCTGGTGGTGTGGTTGAAAATCTGAGTAGAAGAAGACTGAGCTCCCTATCCCTTCTGCAGATGTCACAGTCACCTTAGGAGATTTGCTGAATGTGTTTATTCCATTTAAAAAAAGCCTCTCAGTTCATCCAGCAGGTGAAACACTACTCTTCATGAGTTAAAATATGGCTTTAGAACAAAACCAAGAAATACTGCGAAAGCTCAAGGACAAAGGTTGTGGTGGTGAATATCAGAGAACAGGGCCTAAACCTGATGCAGTCTTCACGGAGGACCACCTGTGTGACCCTGGCAGCCCATCGTGTATTGCACTGACAGTTTTAGTGGGGTGACAACCACCAGAAGACCATTTTTAAAGGAATGCTGTTAAAGGGATCAGGCTAGTGTGGAGTCAGAGGGACAGCCTGCTAGGCAAGACAAGGCATGACAGGGATCTCAGGCAATAGCAAGAGCTCTTCCTTGGAAGAGGAGGAAGCAATTGTAATACAACAGGATAGGTGACTATGTCATGATCCCGAACACACAAATGGTTTGCAGGGATGCCCACTGTGGGTAGCCTACCAGAGTCAAGAGAAACACTGTATAGCTTCAAGTAAATAAAATACCCAACAAAGATTTAAGTAAACACAGGTAGTGGTAGACTCTGCCAGGGCCTCCAGAAAACATTTTCCATTTCATCACACAGGTGGGTCTAACAGGAAGTTCTTTACCTTTATAAAAAAAAAAAAACCATGGCAAAGATATGTCTTGTGAGATGAGGCAGTCAGGGTCAACACAACCAGGTAAAGTGGTACCAGGGACTCCTCTCCCTCAGATCCTGAAAAAGGCAACCTAAAGGGCTGCAATGGAATAGGCACCAACATGGCAAATAATGTTACTCCACAGCATTCAAGTGTGCACACAGGGCACTGCTGCCTGAGAATGCAGCCACAGACCTGGCAGCTGAAGATGAGATCTTGCAACCATCTTTTGCATCCAGATATTTTATTCATGTCTTATATGGAATACTAAAGTCTCTGAAAACACAGACCTTCCACTTGGATTGAGCTTTAACCAATTCTAAAGAATCATATTTGAGATAAAAAAAAATTGGTACTGGAACAGCTGAAGAATATGAACGTTGCCTGACCTGAGAAAGTAGCATGGTACATTGAACTTACCCCTCAAAACCCACCACAAAGATTTCCTGTGCTTCAAAATACCAATGTTATGTAGTACATATATATTGCAGCAGTAAGTTCCACTAAAAGTATGCTTTCATAACTTGTTTCCAACTTGACAAATTAATTTTTTACTCAGATAAACTAACTGAACTTGAATACCTTACAGCATAAGCAAATCATACCTTACTTATACTATAAGAAAGAAAAAAATTATTAAAGAGGGCTTTAAAGACGAACTCCATGTCTACAATATTATGGTAGGGTTATACATCTTGAATTAAAACGCGTCATCTCAGTTCTAAAAAACAGAGGCTATGCCCCATCTTTTGTGATTTATATAAATTATTATAATAGCATTTCATCCTCAGAATCCTTAATTAGAAGCTGGGTAAACAGTTTATAGGCAAAAAAACCTCTTGTATCCTTATTTGTTCAAATATATGAGGGCTGAAAAGAAGATATCTGAAAAAGGTATTTGAAAAAGGGTGCACACCAGTTTAGAAATAACTTCATAAACATTTTTCTGACTCACTAGTTTGATGCTTTACAATAAGATTTCTTTTATGTTCATCAGCCATTGTATTTTCCTGTACCTTCATGTTCATATTTACAATAAATTTCTAGTGTGCTTTTTAATGTATCTATTAAGATACATATGCGACATATATCAATATTTAATGTTTATTTTAAAGGCATTGAGGTAAAAACCAAGAAATAAATTGCAAGCATTATTAGTAATATGCTTTTTAAAAGGATTAAAAGAATGCTATATTAATGCTTACAGGAGTTTAAGAATCGTTCAAGTTAGCATGTAGTTCTATAACTTTCAATATCTTAAGTTAGTAAAATGTCACCATTTGTTATATACAGAAATAAAAAAAATGTTTACTTGGTTAGAGTTCTAAGATAAACAACTTCTTTTTAATGAAATTAAACAATACATACCAGAAGGTACAACAATTCAGTGAATTAATGTTAGTAGTGTGAAATCATTTACCTTTCAACAGCTGAAAATTTTTGCCCAATTTAACTCTTACTTTACATTGTCAGGTTACTTTTAAAGCTGTGCTTCAAAAGTCTGTTTCTCTAAGCCAGCCTGTGCACACCCCATGAGTTAAGGTATTTTCCAGTAACACCGATTCTAGGGAAAAAACAGCAGATTTTAGCAGTTTTGGTGAGCTCAGAGAGGTGTAGGTGGTGAAGAAGTAAAAAACTTTACATAGCCAAGGAATTGCAGCAATATCTTACCTGCTTTCAAAGTTACTTTGAGAAAGAAGAGGATAAGGTGCAAGAGCAGGGCCCAAGAACTACCTGAAAGTCAAAACTTTTTAGATCTTAGTCAACCCATGATTTTTTCTACTAAAATCAGAGTTTCTGTGGTCACTTTGCAAGAAAAAACAAATTCACATGCAAAAAACAACATTCAGCTCCCACTTAACAGTTTTTCCTGCTTTCTACTTTCACAGCTCCAGTTTAACTAAGCAAATTTTAGACTAAACAGCAAATACTGAGGTCACATGGTTTTACATTATCTAAGTAGCCAGTCATCAAGTATTAAAATACTGAATTTTGTGCCTGTTGATTTTGGAATACTTTGCTATTACTATAAGCTAACATACCAAGTGCAACTGTTCTCGGCAATAAGTACATGCAAAATTTTCTATGTCAAATCATTTATGCTGATACCACTGAAAGAAAAGATGAAAGACTTACTCTGGACAGCAAACTCTAGACTTCCATAGCTTGCAATAACTGTAATACAAGTGTTTGATACACAGAGTTTACAACCACTGAAAGAACAAGCTGTGATACTTATAAGCTCTACAATTAAATAATTTCATGTGAAAGACTCACAGGTTCCTAAACTGTATTTTAATTTTAATTAGTTACTTGATTTCACTTCACCAATTTAATCCTTAAAATGTAAACACTCAGAAATAATGATGTTCACAGAGTTTCTCATTATGGCAGTTATTTGGTGAATCTCATTAGAATTCTAACTCATTCATTTCTGGTGTGAGCAGCTAAGATACGCGATCCCTATGTTTTTATGTTAAGAGGTTGCACAAGCACTTTCATTCTTAAATATCCCCATACACTAGGAAACCATAGTAATATCAAGACTACATGACTTGTGTCTCACCATACTAATGCATAACTCTTGTTATTGTTCAGCTATGGAGAATGCCAATACCAGTTTCTGGGACATTTAGATGTCTACTGACCTCAAAATTTATTTCTGTTGACGTTCCTTACCTTGCAAGGCATGATGGAACTGCAGCTAAGGATGGCACAGATGCAGGCTATTAACTGTAAGGAAAGGCTTCTGAATTCAACTCTGTGAGTACAGCTGCCTTGCTATCCACTGCAAGTTGCACACAGAATTCTCTAACACCAAGATGAAAGAAAACACCTAAACATTAAACCTTTCCATACTCTAAAGATGTGCAGGTGTTTTGAAACAAAGGTGTTATGAGAGCTAGAATCTCTCAAGAAAGATACCAATGATGATGATTCTACCATAAAAGAAGAAACTTTCCCTCCTGCCCTGTTCCTTCCATAAAAACAGAAATAGTAATATGTAAACCCTTCTAAAGAAAAGATAAATCTGTTAAATTTTATTACGGCATTTGTTCCAATAGCATTTCTTACTAATTGTTTTGACAACATGGGTTTGTTTTTGTGAATGCATGTTTGCTTTTTAAAAGGTAACATAATGAGAGTTGCTGCTCAGAAAAGTGAATTCAGATCTTACACATCCTCTCCTATCTGTGCGTGTATGAATGAGAGGATACATGCCAGAGATGAAATGAGATGAGATTTTTGTCCCTAATAAAGACGACCTACTTTTGCACGTTACTATATCATTGTCCTGGGTTCCGCAGTAGCAGTCATGTTTTTCCTTTGTGTTAACTGGTACAGTGCTGTGTTTTGACTTCCAGTTTGAGAACAGTGTTGGTGAAGCCGATGTTCTCGGTTGTTGCTAAGTGATGTTTACCCTGACCAAGGACTCTGTGAGGCTCATGCTCTGCCAGGGAGGAGGGGAGGCTGTGAGGAAGCAGAGACGGGGCGCCTGACCCGGGCTAGCCGGGGAGGTATTCCATACCACAGCACGTCATGGCCGGGGTGAGGGGTAACTGGGAGTGACCCGGAAGGACAGGGGTTTCCGGGTGGAGCTCGTTTCTCTTGGCCGGTGGTATCGTATTCTCTTCCCTTGTTATTTTCCCTTATCATTGTTGTAGCTGATAGTAGCGGTGGTGATTTGTTGCTGGACTGTTTTTGTCTCAACCCGTAGGAGTTGCACTCTCTCGATCCTCCTCCCCGTTCCTCCGGGAGCGGGGAAGGGGAGAGCCCCGGTGCGGGGAGGCAGGGGGGGGAGACGGACACGGACCTCGATTGTTGTCAGCTCAGCACCACTCACTGGGAGTGAGTGAACAAGCTACCTGACTGGGTTTAAACCACGACAGTTCGTTTTGGCGCCCAACGTGGGGCACGAAGGGTTGAGATAAGAACAGATCTGACTGGATTGATAGTCACTCGTCACAATGCTGATTTATTGGCTCTCAAGGTTGTTCCTCTTGATCTCACAGTTTCAGTATATGATATCTTACGTCCATCCGGTACTTGCTGTATTAGTGTTTTTCAAGTATGGGGCTTGGGCTAAGGTTTTTATCCCATTGTACTTTATGGTAATGACTTGTAATACAATAGAATCATTGATCATGAAATTGATCTGGCTTATGTTCCCAGTGTGGTCACCACCTTTATACTTTGGGAGGTATATGATGGAGGTGCTTAGCAATTACACATCTTTTTTCTCCTTCTCAGGTGCTCAACCTGGGAAGGAGACATCCTTTTACCCTCCTAGTCGTCCCCCCAGACCATTTACATTTGAGAGTTTTGAATTTTTTGAATGGCCTTTTAATGCTGTTGAGACTTGTTTGCTGATGGTGATGGGAATCACCATGCTAACACGCATACAGAGTGTGTTTTACCCACTACTGATTTCAAGAGTTAAGCAGATTCAGGTTTGGGTCTTGTCTGGGGTCAAACGACGATGTAGGAGGACCGAGAGATTTTCCCTGAGGCTGGACAGCCATGAGTGGCAGGGTGTGTGGGATAGTATGGGCAAGTATCTAGGTCAGTGGGCCCCTCCAGTACTTTGGAATTTCACTACTGAACAACTGCAAAATCCAGAAGAATTAGTAAAACACTTAAATGAGGTGTGTGGTCATTCTGGCCATACCAGAGATGGACAAATCATGGCAACGTGCTGGGGCTTGGCCTATGCTTACAGGGCCTTGTTCAACACTATCCAGCACCTTCAAAAGGAAAAGAATGTCGGCGGATCTGAGGGCAAAGCAACAGTCGCTACTCAAACTTTGGCTGCAATGAACAGCACAGCTGTCCCAGTGGCAAGTACAGCAGCTGCTCAAACTTCAACTGCAACAGACAGCGCGGTTACCCCAGCTCCAAGCACAGTAGCTACACCACCCCCAGTAACAAGTACAGTTGCTACTCAAACCACAGTGATAATCACTGCAGCCAAACCAGAGGACCAATTCGTACCAATATCAGTTGCCCCTGTACGCAAGAGAACAAGCAAAAAGGAGGCAAAAAGGGTGAAGCGAGATGAAGAACCAATGAATTCACCACCCGGTCCAGAATCTGATCAGGAGTCATCATCACATGACGAAGAAGAAGAAGAAGAGGTAACTTCTCGACCTCGGACCTCAACCGAGCTGCGGAATATGCGAAAAGATTTTACCCGTCAACCAGGGGAGCACATCATCACCTGGTTACTCCGATGCTGGGACAATGGGGCTGATGGTCACGAACTAGAAGGTACAGAAGCCAAGCAGCTGGGATCACTTGCTAGAGAAGGGGGAATTGACAAAGCAATTGCAAGAGAGAAAAAGTCCCTCAGCCTTTGGAGGAGGCTCTTGGCAGCTGTGAAAGAAAGGTTTCCGTACAAGGACGATGTTACGAGTCGTTCGGCCAAGTGGAATACTATAGACAAAGGCATCCAGTCTCTGAGGGAATCGGCCATCGTAGAGATGATCTATCACATCAAGCCGAATAACGGGGATACACCTATAGATCCAGATGAAGTTGAATGTACACGACCCATGTGGCGAAAACTTACACGGAATGTCACCAGAGGAGGAGGTGATGCGCGCTGAAGAGGCCCCACCATATAATAAACTGTCAGAAAGTGAAAAGCAGTATGCCTTGTTTACTGATGGCTCTTGCCGTATTGTGGGAAAACATCGGAGATGGAAGGCAGCTGTATGGAGTCCTGGACGACAAGTTGCAGAAACTGCTGACGGAGAGGGTGAATCGAGTCAGTTTGCCGAGGTGAAAGCCATCCAGCTGGCCCTGGACATTGCTGAACGAGAAAAGTGGCCAGTATTTTATCTCTATACTGACTCATGGATGGTGGCAAATGCCCTGTGGGGGTGGTTGAAGCAGTGGAAGCAGAGCAACTGGCAACGCAGAGGTAAACCCATCTGGGCTGCTGCACTGTGGAAAGATATTGCTGCCAGGGTGCAGAACCTGGTGGTGAAGGTACGTCATGTAGATGCCCATGTACCCAAGAGTCGGGCCACTGAGGAACACCAGAACAACCAACAAGTGGATAAAGCGGCTAAGATTGAAGTGGCTCAGATGGACTTAGATTGGCAACGTAAAGGTGAATTATTTTTGGCCCGGTGGGCCCATGACACTTCAGGCCATCAGGGCAGAGATGCAACATATAGATGGGCCCGTGACCGAGGGGTGGACTTAACAATGGACACTATTGCCCAGGTTATTCATGAGTGTGAAACATGTGCTGCAATTAAACAAGCCAAGCGGTTAAAGCCTCTTTGGTATGGAGGACGATGGTTGAAGTATAAATATGGGGAGGCCTGGCAGATTGACTATATCACACTGCCACCAACCCGCCAAGGCAAGCGCCATGTGCTTACCATGGTGGAAGCAACCACCGGGTGGCTGGAAACATACGCCGTGCCCCATGCCACTGCCCGGAACACCATCCTGGGCCTTGAGAAACAAATTTTGTGGCGACACGGCACCCCAGAGAGAATTGAGTCAGACAATGGGACTCATTTCCGGAATAACCTTATAGATATTTGGGCCAAAGAGCATGGCATTGAGTGGGTATATCACATCCCCTACCATGCACCAGCCTCTGGGAAAATCGAACGGTACAATGGACTGTTAAAAACTACACTGAGAGCGATGGGTGGGGGAACTTTCAAGCATTGGGATACACACTTACCAAAGGCCACCTGGTTGGTCAACACCAGAGGATCTGCCAACAGGGCTGGCCCAGCCCAGTCAGAACTGTTACATATTGTAGAGGGGGACAAAGTTCCCGTGGTGCATATGAAGAATTTGCTGGGAAAGACAGTCTGGGTAATTCCTGCTTCAGGTAAAGGCAAACCCACTCGTGGGATTGCTTTTGCTCAGGGACCTGGATATACTTGGTGGGTAATGCGGGAAGATGGGGAAGTCCGATGTATACCTCAAGGGGATTTGATTTTAGGGGAAAACAGCCAGTGAACTCAATTGTATGCTGTTGCCTGCTGTGTAATGCTTTTATAGCCCATCAACTAGATGTCTCCAGGTCACCAGCGACTGGCCCTGACTTCCCTCCAGCCATCATCCCAACAGAGAATGAACTTTGAACATCATGGACCGAATGGACTCGGCAGCATTATAGGGATTGGTCCATGCACTAAGAAAATGATTTTTCCTCTTGGTCTGTATGTATATGGATGTATATATGTGGGAGAGCGATGGTATATTGAAAAATGTGGGATCTGAGCACGACGTGAATGGTATGGAATAAGGGGTGGATAATGTCCTGGGTTCCGCAGTAGCAGTCATGTTTTTCCTTTGTGTTAACTGGTACAGTGCTGTGTTTTGACTTCCAGTTTGAGAACAGTGTTGGTGAAGCCGATGTTCTCGGTTGTTGCTAAGTGATGTTTACCCTGACCAAGGACTCTGTGAGGCTCATGCTCTGCCAGGGAGGAGGGGAGGCTGTGAGGAAGCAGAGACGGGGCGCCTGACCCGGGCTAGCCGGGGAGGTATTCCATACCACAGCACGTCATGCCCGGGGTGAGGGGTAACTGGGAGTGACCCGGAAGGACAGGGGTTTCCGGGTGGAGCTCGTTTCTCTTGGCCGGTGGTATCGTATTCTCTTCCCTTGTTATTTTCCCTTATCATTGTTGTAGCTGATAGTAGCGGTGGTGATTTGTTGCTGGACTGTTTTTGTCTCAACCCGTAGGAGTTGCACTCTCTCGATCCTCCTCCCCGTTCCTCCGGGAGCGGGGAAGGGGAGAGCCCCGGTGCGGGGAGGCAGGGGGGGAGACGGACACGGACCTCGATTGTTGTCAGCTCGGCACCACTCACTGGGAGTGAGTGAACAAGCTACCTGACTGGGTTTAAACCACGACAATCATTAATTTTCTATCCTGGGAATTTATTCTAGAATCAAATTACCTGTAAGATAAACCTTCTGTAATTACCACTAAAAGTCTCATTTTTCAGTTTAAGGACATTTTTGATTTGCAGTTGTGCATTTTACATACTGTACAAATGACTAAACATATATTTAAATATCAAATTCAGACATTGTTAGTTCAAATCAGTTAAACAGAGAAATCATTCCCTTCTGGCTACCTCCATTTCTCTTTAATCCTGGTCAGCGTAGAACCTTATTACAAGTAATTTGCTACTATAAGACTGAGGAAAAAATGCTAGCCTCACAATTTTTGTCATTTTTCCTTGACTTCCCCTGCAGGCTGCTACTGTTGATGGCCTTTATGGAAATATAAATTCTATCAGCAGCTGCAAATTTCATGAGATGTCCATCTTCATGCTGAATTTCTAACTGAGTGTCAAAACAATCTGTGGATTTCTCCCTGATGAAACACACTTTGAATTGTAAATTTCTGCAATCTTCTCATGTTAGAGTTTGAGCTGCACTAAAATAGACCTAGTCCAGATATAGTGCCTACCAGCTCGAGACAAGTGATTTTTTCCTCTCACTATCTCGCTCTGCTGTTGAAAGGGTTAAATAATAACCCATGAAAAATCACCTGCTTCTTTTCTTTTACATAAAAAATTAGATGACATTTTCTGTTCTTTTTAGTAGAAGGAAATATAAAGCCCTTCCATATATTACAAATGCTCTCAAATCAGTTAATTCAACCCGCTATTCATTTTACAGTACTTAAAATTAGCTGCAATAAAACTTAAAGCATTTCTTACATTGTCAAAATGGTGCAGTATTCGAAGAGAACAAATTCAGTTTGCAGACACAGTTTGTTTCTTCTAAATCTCGACTTACATTAAATGTATATAGTAAATATAGTAAAACAATACAATTTCTCTTTCAATTACTGTTTCTTACAGTAGCATAGAAAGTACCTATTCAGTAAATTATAGCAGCTCATGCCATTTGCTTTAGCATAATATTTGTTTCTCTTCTGTAGATACTAACATGAATATACTACTTTTCCAATTTGCAAGAAAAAAAAAAAGTTACACATTCTTATCTCCACTGCACATATAAAAGTACCATTCACAAAGAGAAATTCACTGATAAAGATGATCTTTCTACTCATGTAATAAAAACTTGCTTTGTATTTGTTTTCTTCTCTCCAGGGATAAACATTATGGTGGCATGGAAGCGGAGCTTAATAAACTGTACTTGACTAACACTGAAAAGAATGATTCTGTTTTGGATGTTTCAGTACAAATACTATATTCCAACTCAAAATACTGTCTTCCAGTTAACACAAAATTCAGTGGGCCACCTTCTTTTTTGTATAGACCAAACTTCCAGTTAATTATCAGAATGAGGAAAGAAACCGAAAAATGAGTAACTACAGAATAATTTCTTTGCACAAGACTTTCAATGTACTGAGTTTTATCACTCTTAATATGTCACTACAGCACTTCTTCGGTCATGTCCTCCCCCTGGCCTCCCTTGCTTACCTGCAACCTCAAATCTAACTGATCTATACAATTTCCCTGACCTTAAAAATGAAAAATACCACAAACAAAACCATATGCAACAGAACTAGTCTAAATCAAAAAATCTAAATCAAAAACTCATGTTTGTCTCAAAAAAAAGGCCTAAGGAATGAATACTGGTATGCAGGAGGGGAAGGACTGGCACTAGCTTAGCTGAAATCTTACGCTCTAGCAAATAAGCATATCAGAGGAGCAAGAATACTACTGGGCTCCCTTTTAAGCTATAATTATTAAACTGACCCTTATAAACTCGCTATTATTAGAATGCAAATTCCCTGCTCAGTGAGTCAAAAAAAAACCCTCAATTTTGCTCACAACGTTATTTCAGAGATCTCTTGCTTTGTTTCACTGAACCACAACATCCCTGATCAAATAATGTCAGGACTTTACTTCGGTTTCACATGGTCATGCATTTATCAGTTTTAACAGCAAAACAAAAACACACGCCGATTTCTGCTCCAACAGTAATTTTATATAGTGAAGCAGATGTTTTGTAAACACACAGTCTCCAGTGAAAAGTTTTAGCACCCAAGTATAGCTACATATTCTGCTGGGTAGATAGCAGGAATGGTAATTACTGAAAGTACTATAATTATAATAAAGCTTTCATTATAACAGCTTCTTCAATATTGTGGTTCAGTTGATATGCTGGAGGGAAGGAATGCCATCCAGAGGGACCTTGACACGCTTGTGAGGTGGGCTGATGCCAACCTCATGAGGTTTAACCATGCCAAGTGCAAGGCCCTACACCTGGGTCAGAGCAATCCCAGGCACAGCTACAGGCTGGGCAGAGAAGAGATTGAGAGCAGCCCTGCGGAGAAGGACTTGGGGGAGTTGGTTGATGAGAAAATGAACATGAGCTGGCTTCAGTGTGTGCTTGCAGCCCAGAAAGCCAACCGTATCCTGGGCTGCATCAAAAGGAGAGTGACCAGCAGGTCAAAGGAGGTGATCCTGCCCCTCTACTCTGCTCTCGTGAGACCTCACTTGGAGTATTGTGTGCAGTTCTGGTGTCCTCAACATATAAAGGACATGGAACTGTTGGAACAAGTCCAGAGAAGGGCCGCGAGGATGATCAGGGGACTGGAGCACCTCCCGTATGAAGATAGGCTGAGGAAGTTGGGGCTGTTCAGCCTGGAGAAGAGAAGGCTGCGTGGAGACCTCATAGCAGCCTTCCAGTATCTGAAGGGGGCCTATAGTGATGCTGGGGAGGGACTCTTCATTAGGGACTGTAGTGACAGGACAAGGGGTAACGGGTTAAAACTTAAACAGGGGAAGTTTAGATTGGATTTAAGAAGGGAATTCTTTCCTGGTAGGGTGGTGAGGCACTGGAATGGGTTGCCCAAGGAGGTTGTGAATGCTCCATCCCTGGCACTGTTCAAGGCCAGGTTGGACAAGGCCTTGGGTGATATGATTTAGTGTAAGGTGTCCCTCCCTGCCCATGGCAGGGGGGTTGGAACTAGATGATCTTAAGGTCCTTTCCAACCCTAACGATTCTATGATTCTATGATTCAATGATTGAATTATTTGGTTACATTTGTCAACAGAGCCTGCCAGAAAGGAAGGAAGGTGTAACAAGAAAATGTTTCCCTTTCTCAAAATATCCAGAGTACTACTGAGAGAGCTGCTGTAGCACATGCAGAAGACAGGAACCAAGAATCCATCCTAATCATGTTAATCCACCATTATTGGGTACTTGTTCCTGTCCAGTTTTAGGATTTAGCTTTGTCTCACATGATTTCAAAACCTCACCTCTATTTCTCAAAAACAACTGCTTCCCTTTTATCTATACCTTCCAAGTCCTAGGCCATGATGCGTTACTAAAACACAGTGCCTAAAGTACTTCCAAAGGAAGCTGATTAAACTTCCACCTAACACATGAAAGCACAGAATTTTCCAATTTCTGTGCGGACTCAGACACATGAACTTCCAGGCATTCTACCAAAACTGTAGTACTGAAGTACTACCAAAGTTCTTCAAAACTTAGGGAAGAAAATGAGAATTGAAAACTGTGTTAATAAGCAACACAGAGCTGCAAGAAGAAAACTCACTGTAGTACAAATCCAACAAATGTGATCTTACACAATGTAAGATATGCTACATATTTCTTCAGTGCCATCTTCGGCACGATAGTTACAGCTACTAAACAAGTGTGATTTCTTTCTTCCTTCCAATATAACCTTGAAAGTCATATTATATCAATTACATATGCACATTTAACAAGAACAGCACTCAAAAACAACCCTCAGCAAAACAGTTTTAGAATTTTATGCTACATAAAAAGTTGCATTGAGGGGGAATTCAGTCATCTGCTAGTGTGTTAAAGAAATGCATCAAGTAGTGATGTCAGAAGTCAGATAAACCTAGGATGACACTAACCTTACAATTCAGCAAGGTGTCAGAAGTATAACAAACAAAAATGGTAATTTTTATGGCATTAAGGCAGACCGCCTTTAGATTATATCAGTCTCCCTCCAGATGCCCCCAGCCTCACATATTTATCATTGAAATACTTGATTTCTAACTCAGAACTGAAAATATGTTTCTGGGCTCAAAAATAAGTCTGTTTATTTTTTTTGAAAATATTCTGATTGTTCTAATAAAAATATTGCCTTCTGTCCACAAGCCTTGCCTTGCTCTGTCTGTTAATGATCATGGCTAAAATTTCACTGCAATATTTTCCTTGGCTTTTCTACTCAAAGGTCAATAATATTAAACAGTTGATTCAGCTTTGTTTTTAATTTAATAACACCTCCTCCCCCTAACACGCACAGGAATTCATGAAGATTCCTTTTTCTCGTCTTCTTCCTGAGACAACTGGAAAACTTTATAAATGTCAAGACATATAGCAAGGTTTTGCTCAGAAAGGCTGGTAGCACTACTAGCTTGTGAAGATGACTTTGGTTTTAAAATACAGCAGACAGTATCAGAAGCAGGCAAAAGTGAAGTGAATTAGAAAAAATTAAAAAGGGCTTGATTTTACTGTTTGGTTTTGTAACTGTCAATTACTTTCTCACAAGGTATTTTGTAATGTGACGGTGTCTAAGAAAGATAATCATTACACTCAAAAAAACTATAAAAATACCTTCTTGAAAATTGGCATGAAGCTTAAGCAAGACTTGAAATGAAAATGATAAAACAGCTTTCAAAAGAGAAAATACACAGTGGTTAAAACTGTATTATTTGCAGAATTGTCAGTTAATTCACCATACAGCATAAAAGACATATCTTCTCTCGGAACATTAACTTTCACAATTTCTGCACTCAGTGGATAAGGAATTGGCTGGATAGTCACACTCAGACAGTTGTGGTCCAGGGCTCAATGTCCAAGTGGAGACCAGTAACAAGTGGTGCTCCTTGGGGGTCGGTGTTGGGACTGGCGCTGTTTAACATCTCTGTCAGTGACATAGACAGTGGGATGAGCCAGCGATCAGTAAGCCAACCCTGCATCAGGAGTGTGGCCAGCAGGTTGAAAGAGGTGATTCTTCCCCTCTACTCCACTCTTCTGAGACCCCACCTGCAGTCCTGTGTCCAGCTCTGTGGCCCCCAACATGAGAGGGAAGTGGAGCTGTTGGAGGAAGTCCAGAGGTGGCCATAAAGATGCTCAGAGGGCTGGAGCTCTCTCTGCTACTGTCTCATAGCTGTCTCTGCTATGGGGATAGGCTGAGAGAGTTGGGCTTGTTCAGCCTGGAGAAAAGAAGGCTCAGGGGAGACCTTAGAGCAGCTTTCAGTACCTAAAGGGGCCTACAAGAATCTGGAGATGGACTTTTTACAAGGGCAGGCAGGGACAGGACAAGGGGCAGTGGCTTTGAACTGAAAAAGCATTACTTATATTAGGTATTTGGAGGTAATTCTTTACTATGAGGGCGGTGAGACACTGACACAGGTGGCCCAGAGAAGTCGTGGTTTCCCCATCCCTGGCAGCGTTCAAGGTGAGATTGGACAGGGCTTTGACCTGGTCTAGTGGAAGGTGTCCCTGCCCACAGCAGGGGATTGGAACTGGATGAACTTTAAGGTTTGAATTGATGAACTTTAAGATCTCCTCCAACCCAAATCATTCTATGATTCGATGCAGTGTCCACAGTTTATGTCATATTAACAAGGAAACATAGGATTAATATACAGAACAGGTTAACACTGCAACAGTGACAAGCTGTCAACTGTGATATTCTTGTGCCTGAATGGAAAAAAAACATTACAACTTGAAAACTATCTGTCCTTTTAGAGACAGCTTCGTTACTACCTGCTTTTCATTTTCATAGTCCTGCTTTTTTGCCTTTTAATGGCCTCTCCTTTTCTGTTGCCATTGAAGAAAAACAGAATTACAGTGCTTCCTTCAGATGCTGGATCCATAGAGAAAAATTGTTGTATTAACCATGTAAAGCCCTAGTGAAACTAAAAAGTGAATGTTTATTTTATCCCTCAGGCAAACCCTGAAACATTTCTAGAGTCCTATAAGCCATGCTTGG